AGATAGCTCAGTGGGATAACTGCCTGCCTGGCAAGTGCAGGGTCCTGAGTTCGATCCCTGGTACAAAAAAAAAAAAAAAGAAAAGAAAAGAAAAGAAAAGAAAAGAAAGAGAGAGAGAGAAAGAGATCAATCATGATCCCCATTGACATTTGTCCAACCTCTAAGAAACAGCAAAATCATCAGGCAGCTGGTTGACAAGATCACTTAATGGTCCAGAAGTTAGTGTTTAAATCCCGCCACATAATAGGAAGTAGTAAAATTTTATAGCCCAATAAGATACAAGTGCCCTGAGATGATACTCCTAGGATTCCTGGGTGTTCAAATTTATCTTCTAGTGACTATATGTGTCCTATTTCTCTTTTGGGTTTATGGTTAAGCTTTTTTTCTTCTTCATCATCTTCTTCTCTTCTCTTTTGCTTCTCCTTCTCCTTTTTTAACAGGGTCTCCCTATGCAGTTCAGGCTGGCCTTGAACTCTATGTATCGTAGGCTAACCTGAAACTCCCAGCAGTCCTCCTGCCTCAGCCTCCTGAATGCTGGGATTTTAGGCATGTACCACTGTGCCAAAACTCTTCTCATCATAAACCTTATTAGAATAAGTTTTATTGGATTGAAGCCTATTAGAAATATGTAGTATAAAATCTAAATGCACTGAGTTATATGTGGTTAAAGAGTCAATGAAAGTACCCAGCTGTTTTTCATGAAGCCTGATGCCACAGAAAATTAGAAGATAGATGACGGCAAAGAGAGGCTGCATGACAGACACAGGGCAGCCCCAGTGCAGAGGAAATTCTGGGGGCTGCAGCTGCAGGGTACCCACCAAAGGAGCAGTGAAACAGCCAGGAGCCTGCTTTGGCTGCAGGCTACCTCCAAATGGGGGTGAGTGTGAGTCAACTCGGAAAGCGCGGAGCGCCCTCCTCAGACCCCCGAGTGCTTCAGCACCCCCTCAGCCTCAGCCCAAAGGATGGCAGGAAGTGGGAAGGCCAGTGCTTTTTATTTTCTCCTTGGATCATATTAAATCTGATCCCTCTAATGCTATAATTGTACAACTGACTTGTTTTCACCAAAATACT